CCTGAAATAGGGGCTTTGGTCAATTTACTATACTGGTACGAACAAGTGTTGTTGATTCTTTAATCCTTTTAATTGTTCCACGTAAGGCGATTCTGCTGGGTATGAGTAAAAGTTAGGAATGCGAGGTTCGGAGTTCGAGTGAGAGAGTAATTAGATGGAGATCATTGTAAATTATTAGATCATACCAAGACTTAACCGCCGGATCCGGGGACCACTTTTTTCTTTTTCTTTTCCAGCATAACCCCTCACCTCATAGGGCTGAGGGTTCGGCGTTGCATAACATACGAGTGGGGGACATGGGCGGTTATCATAATAATAATATTATTGTAAACCAAAATAGAGAGCTTTCGCACATTGATATCAACCGGGGGTTTGGCATTGGGGTGAAAACAATCTCATTCATACATTGCACTTATTGCTTCTCCATTTCGCCTCTCCTTGTTTTTGGAATATGGATGTCATCTCTACTCCACCGGCTGTCATTAGTGCGGCATCGCCGTGGTCCAAACATTTACTTGTTTCCCAACTAAAGCGATACCTGTCGGGTATGCTGCTGGAAGGTGATTTCAGATCCAGCAGGTATAGACGGGGGCTCATTTGACAAGAACTCTGAGGAAATCTGGGTAGGTATTTCCAAGAGATAATTGAATTTATGTGTGCAATGCCTGTGTCTTGAATTTTCAATAGTTTTTCGAGGTTCTTGACTAACTTATTCCGAATGCCCCTGCTTTTCAGTGGGAAATGCGGTTGTCCTTTCATACCACTTTTCTTCACTCATGTGATTGACCCAGGTGGACGCTCCAGGTGCATCTCACCGCACAAGGCTGTACGAGTACTGTACAGTACAGTACTCGAGTCGACCTGCTCTCGGGTATCGCCCGTACCGCTCTAGGGGGCGCAGCAGTTGGTTACCGATGGGGTAAGTTACACGGCTGTACGACGTTGCACTCACGGTACCGGTACATCATATCACACTTCATGGGAAAGGGTATCGGGGCTAGTTCTGTTTCATTTTCTTTTTGATATCCAACCTCCAGCTGTTAGCCGTCGGGAAGTTTTGTGCTTTAATGGCTTGTATTACCTGTGGTTAAGTTTTCGCGATGGTGATGGATTATTTGGGATAATTGTGGATCCTGGACTTGCTTTCAGTGTGGTGCTTTCCACCATTACCATCCCCAAAGTGGTGCTTCACCTAGTCTATTCTTTAGGGTCGGTGGGGTATGTTTGGTGTTGAGAATTTCAGGCTGCTCGAGGAGAGATGTTCGGATGTTTCCCGGTCTACAATCCCTATCAGCCGTTCAGCCCATCATTGTCTCGGGTCTAGTTGCACCTAGATTCACAGAGATATCATTTCAGCCGCTTCACCCCTCAGTCGTTTCTTCAATCGAGAATCATGGACCAGCACGGTCAGCGATAAGCGCCGTGGTGAACGGTTGAACCATAACTGGTGGGAAAGACACTTTAGTATAACACACAGAAAATACGGTAAAGAGCAAATATGGAAGGAAAAAACAAAAGAATCACTTTCTTCCCCCACTTTCTCCCCGCACTTTGTTTTGTGCAAATTTATTTCTTTGTCCTCGAGATCTGCCCCGCGTTCCGAGAACTTTTGCGAAAGTTTGAATGCTATAGTTTTAGCCTCGGATCAAGTCGAGCGGGTTTGAAGGCTAGAGGAACTATGATAGATGCTCATTTCCTACAATCCCAGCTTGCTTCAGCCTCCCAAGCTCGGGTGGGCAAGGGTACAGATATGAGTGCTAATCTCACTGGGAGGCATAATTATCATGGTGTGCATTAGCTGGAGTTGCAACACCAAGTGCGCTGCGATAGGCCACTATGGTATTAAAGTGCGAAGGGTAGGAGGAGAGGTACTGTACGTCACGAAGATAGATTCCAATCTAATTTTTGATAAGGGATGGGGGTGTATACGCGATCTAAACACCGCACGGAGAGAATAAAGAGATATAGTTATTCGGAAAACGTCTTGGTGAAACGTGCCCTCATTCTATTGGAGACTGCGGTGCTATGAGGAGGAGAAGGAGGCTATTGCCTAGCTTATGTCTCGCGAAGAGAGCTATCCGCCCAAGAGTCAAAGAGAAAATCCGATTAACTAAGACATTCACCTAACGACCGCGCAACCAATGACCAGAAAACTACTGCCGAAAGGACAATGCGTAAAGTTGACGATCGGTAGAAAGCCGTGCAGACAAAAGAGCAAAGAAAGTGAAAATAGAGCAAAAGCAAGCAATCATCGTCGGTAATGAGACATAGCGCTTTCCTTTGGCTAATCCTCACTTGCTTGGCCGTAAAGTTGTTTGTTTTCAGGTTTATTTCGTATGTGTTTGTTCACTTGTGGCAAAATCTCGTGTTGGCTGTCATCGTCTCGTATTCTAGTTTCTTGTAGAAAGGAAAGAGGGTGAGAAGGAAATCTCTTAGATATCATACGCGGGGGAAAAAAACTTTCTCCAACAACCCTTTCTAAAAACAATCGTCCTAAACAAAGGCCAAAGCCCGAAGAGTCCCGGGCACAACGCGGATATAGATATCCGCATCAGAAAACCTATAAACCCAACCTTCTCTCCGACACTACTTGTAGTCCAATTGAAGTGGGGACAATATGAAAACTTGGATAATTATAGAGATCCGGCATGCACACCAGGAAAACTCGAACTTGATAAGGCCTAAAATTAGGTTCTGATTCATCTCGAACCGGTTTGTGATAAATATTCATGGTTTATTTCTGATAGAGAAATAATCTAGGTCAAGTTCGAGGGTTGTAGTATACCCTTACCCCCATTTCGTATCATAGCTCATCTTGAATCACCGCTTATCGCTCCCCCCGTATTGCACTGTGTTTCGTACAACCGAGTGATAGACTATGTCGATGCCGTTTGGATCATCCAATTTCTGCACCCTGACAACTACAGTCTATGTTTCGTACCCACATAATAGCCCCCAAACATTCGCTATCACATCGAAGTGGTAATGAGGCTTTACAGCGCTGCAGTGTCCCCAGCTTATAATAAGTTGCCTCCTCTATCCGTAAACCGTAGTGCGCAGCCGAGATGACCACCATTCCCTGATAAGTGGGACCGAAATGCAAAAGACAGTACTTTCCCGAGGTTGGCTCGCCTAATTTGTTGCGGGTGCAGGATGGAGAATGACTACTAGTGATGAAGCGAGCCGCTGCACCGTTTGCAGGATATCACCTGTGAAGGCATCGCATGATGTTCATACGCAGGTCCCCTGACTCCGGGATAAAGTTGGCTAGAATGTAAGGAACCGAAAGGACCCTAAGACCCTTTACTGCCCTATCACCGAGCTTCCCGGTCCCTATGGGTCTAGAAAGACAACCCGCTCTCTTCCGGGTTACTTCATGTTGGGATACGGAATTTCAGGGCTAAAGAGGGCCCGCTAAGCATACTCGTAGTAGGCAAGTGCTCGAGCATCGGGAAAGGGGTCGTTCGTGAAACATGACAAAATATCCCGACATGATACGAAGTATGCCTCGTATTTTCGGATACTTTCTGCCTGCTATCATAAGAGTAATATCACTTAATATCATTGGTTCTCGAATGATTGGACCTTGTGCTTGGTAGTCTAAAATTTCCCTAACACAAATCGGGGTTTTTTTTTTGCTGGTCTGGTCTGTATAACTAGTTGGCTGAGTGCAAAGTGCAAAAAAGTAGGCACATATGGGTACGTTTGATTAAGTGAATTCAAGACCACTGGGATGGACAATAAGCTATTTTTGCCAATACACTTTACTTTACTGACCGCTCGTGACAAGTCTCATACCCCTGCACCAACAGCTTTTGACCCCTCCCCCCATTTCCGTGTATTCTTTACGGGGACGAGTAGTACAAGTACACGGTCTAATTATTTAAGATTTTACTGTATACGAGAAACGCAGAATCTGGAAGGGTTCCGGGATTAGTTTAGATGTGGTTGTCAGTTGGAAATCCCAAAACGGCTTTTATACGGTGGGTCACTAAACGTGCACGGGAAAGTGCGGAACTGGAGCTCTGTTTTCTTTTTTAGTACTCGAGGACCAAGCGTGACTGGGCCTGGTTGAGGAACCGGCTTTTGTGCCGTTTTGCCTTCGTTTTTCCGCCTCTAGTCCAAGTTCGGTGGGGGCTGTTTAGACCGGACCACAGCGACATCATCTTGGCTAATTAATTATAGGTTAATATAGAGATCAATGGAAATTATCTGCCATTTAACAAAATTAATAGCCAGTTCACTGGGTGGTCGCCGCACATTAACCGGTCAAGTACTCGTACAGTAAAAAATAGGTGCGACATTGTCCTATTAACTGCCTTTTTTCAAACACCAATAGCCCAACCAAAACTTCATATTTATTAAATTCTCTTCTATTGCCTTATTCCCCAGATTCTAGTCTACCACCAAATAGCTTTATATTTGGGATAGGTGCTGTTGTTCAGGAGTCTTCTTCATTCAAGGTTTGGTGATCTCCGCGCGCTGAAGCGGACTGATCCAGGAAGTCCCCCACCGTACTTGCACGGGCATTTCCCCAGGCTCCTCAGAATCGCAATGGTCAGGCGCGACTGGGCCAAATACCGGTACTTCCACCGGGGGCTAGATTAATTCCTCTCTTCCCGTCCTTCATGGTTACAATCTAATTCAGAAGGTTGCACGAGAGACATGCACTTCCGGATTAAGTCGAGAAGACGGTAGATCTGCACGACCCCGGTTACGGACCCAACTGATGGTTTCTTTCCGCTGCGATGCTGCACAGAATTAAAATCAACATTTGACAGAGTCCCCCGCGTCAATGGTTGGCGAAAGGGGACTGCAGCGTTGTGCCGTGCCTGGGTGAACGGCAAAACCGGCATCTCGAGTTCACTTTGTCGGGTGGTTTTTCGATTGGGGGTACAATACTGCAAGATCAAGAACGATTCGGGATGGTAATACGATATCCTTCCACATGTGGGGAGTGAGGGTGGGCAAATTGCTGATGAACGAACGTTCGGCTGGGTACGGAGTTCCTACTTTTCTGGGACCTGGGGGAGAAATAAACTATGCCATTGACTACTCCTTTTTCTCGAGCGCTCTACTGGACGAGCACCGGTACCGCACCTCTGCCATGGTGGTGAGTTGCGGTCCTGAGCGGAAAGGGGATTGATAAATCTCCGTGGATCCCCCCCCTTCCTTCGCTCCACCAGGCAGCGTCTTCTCCTCAGAATCTGGCCAATTACAATCGCTTAAGCCTACGATCCATTCGTGCGCGGAAATGACCAAACTCAAATCCATCGCGGTCCTCCTCGGATTCGCTCATCTCGCCCTCTCTATCCCGGCCGATCGTGACCACTACGTGACCTCCAGGGCGACCTTGATCGAGTGCCTATCCACATCCGGTGTCCCTCTGATCTCCCCTTCAGATACCGACTATGCCTCTGCTGTGAGCCCTTACAACCTCCGGCTGCCATTCTTCCCCGTTGCCGTCGCAGTGCCCACAACAGCAGCGCACGTCTCTTCTGCCCTCAAGTGTGCCGGGAGGTTCAACACAAAAGTCGCTGCGAGATCTGGAGGTCATTCCTATGCTGCGTTTGGACTTGGCGGCGCAGATGGGAGTTTGATGATTGACCTGAAGAAGTTCCGGAACTTGAGCGTGGAGCCTAGCACGAATATTGCGACGGTGGGTGCCGGCTTGAGGTTGGGAGATGTTGCTAGTGGGATATATCAGATTGCAGGCAGGGCACTGCCGCATGGAACTTGTCCTGGGTGAGTGACTTGCTGTGGTACTGGGTTGTATTTGTACTGATTAGCGTAGGGTCGGTATCTCCGGACATGCGCTTCATGGTGGGTTTGGGTACACGTCGCGTATGTGGGGGACCACTTTGGACAATATTGAAGAGATGGAGGTTGTCCTTGCAAATGGGGATATTGTCAACGTTTCTAAAGGGTCGAACCCGGACTTGTTTTGGGTAGGCCTCTTCTTGATCATCAGGGGCCAAGACTAATTATTACTTTAGGCACTCCGGGGCGCTGGATCATCGTTTGGCATCGTCACAAACTTTAAATTCAAGACGTACCCTGCGCCAAGTTCGGGCATCTATTTCTCCTGGAACTGGATGTTGGAGAACGATGCCGAGGGCACCATCGAGAAAAAGGTCAAAATATTCCAGGCCTTGCAAGACTACGGTGAGGCCACCGCTCCTGCTGAGATGGTGCTCGCAGTGTACACCATGCCAGCGGACACCCAATTTCAAGTTTCCGGCGCGTACTGGGGTTCTCGCGCAGACTTCGACAGAGAGATTGCGCCGCTAGTGGCCAGTTTCCCACAGGACGGCATACCGGAGGCGTCGATTACCGAGTATACATACATCGATTTACTCGTTCTCCTCGCAGGAGCGCAGCCTTTGCCACAACCGGAGGAATATACTGCACACGATACTTTTGTAAGTTCACCACTCCCATCTCCCTCCTGCCCCCGACACATGCTGGGACCAACATGCTGATAATTCAGTTCACAAAATCCATTGTCGCCCCCACAAAACTGACCAGCGAATCCCTGACCTCCTTCTTCACCTTTCACAGCCAAAACGCGGTCAACTCCGAACTCAGCTGGTGGGTCATCGCAGACTTGTACGGCGGGAAGCACAGCAACATCCCCACCCAGAACCCGGCCGACAGCAGCTATGGGATCCGTGACTCACTTTTCACCTTCCAGCTGTATTCCTTCGTAAACGCTGGGGTCACCTATCCGCCTTCGGGAATCCAGTTTATGGGCGAGTTGTCGCGGAGCATGACCAACGCGCAGCCTGGGACAAGGTTTCAAGCTTATTCGAATTATGTGGATCCGTCGCTCTCGCCAAGCGAGGCGCATGACCTTTATTACGGTCAGAATTATGAGAGACTGAATAGGCTAAAGGGGGTATACGATCCGAACCTTTTGCTGTGGAATCCCCAGGCTATCGGGACTTCGTAGTGGGTATTTTAGTAACGGTAAATGGAATGTTGAAGGATGTAATACCTTTATCATGGAGGAGTCGTTTCACCGAATCACGAATTATAAGGAAATCAATGGCGAAAGATGGCAGTGTAGCAAACACATCTTGTTTTCTCGTTGAGTCCATAGTGTCTTCAAAATGGAAAATATATTATTTCTGCGCTCTTGATAATAGCTGTCCTAAATCCACCGTTGCATTCTATGTAACACAATAAGTTTTAAACTACTCGAGCACTCAAACTGATACCAATTCCCATCGCCAACGATTCCCAAAGAAGATGCCTAAGAAAATACAATGAATATATGTGCATAACTCCAATTGGAACAAACCCTTGAACCTCCCTCTCCAGGATCAATTGTCATAATATACACCGGTCGCATGCAAAGTGTAGCCGATTCTTATTTGTGGGTATAACAGCCAATGATGGACACGCGCAGCGATAGAGAAAAACTAACTTAAAGGACTGTGTGGGAACTGTGGGAGGATGTGGACAAGAGCGTAAGGTAAGGAAAAATGCCTTCGTTCGTCTCTTCTCTAAACTAACGGTAAAGACAGGTGTATAAGTAAAAAATAAACAATGTATCCTGACCATTCCATGAATCACCACACCTATCTGTACCATAGCTCTCCAAGCATGCTACCCTTTCCTGCATACACTCCCGTGATAACAAGGGAAAGACACGTCTGGAGAATCTCGTGGCAAAATCTGAACCTCCACGCACGCCAATCCATTGAACCTTTGAACTCTCCGCCAGACTCCCGAAACCTCCACAATCTATCTCAATCAACCGGCATCGATCTAGAACCTTCAACACCTATAATCCCCTAAAAAGTCACCCGCAGGAGTCCTGTCGGCTAGCTCGCTGCTACTCCAAAAAGAGGTGTAGATCACTGAGAGCAGTGAAGGCTATGTATTTAGCGGTGATACAGACTGGTGCCCCCAACCAATGCGCGGGGAATGCAAGGTGCGAGTACAATCACAATTTCCGAAAACACTTACCCGTGTATCCACCATCTTTTCTCGACGGAAAGTTTGTCGCTCTAGATTGCAGTGATGGCGAGCATCGCTTATGGAGTTGATCCTTCGTCATGATTGGTTATTCCACGGGATTTCGGGATCTTTGAGATAATCCGGTACACGGTATATATCCTCATCGCTTGTCATTCCCCTGAGAGTATCTGTGGACAGCACTCAATGAGGGTGAGCCGAGACTATGTACTAGTACATCTGACACAAGTACTGCACTGAGTGTTATAAGGCTGCGGCGGACATCAATACCGCTGGATCCACTGACATCCCCGGGATATGAATAACCCATCTGCTTAGCCATCCCAGGAGAATCGGCGCCTGTCCATATGCACCTGGTCAAAGGATCCGGCAGCGACCCAGACATGTACCCGCAGCCATTGATCCATATCACTGTTCTAGGATAGAAAAGTCCTCATTGGCGTGTCCGTGTACGAGTAATAGTAAAAAAAACAAAGCACACAAAAACGGTCGAAATTCAACTTCATGTTCAATACATTGTAGTTTTATCATCCCAGCATCGTACCGCCGACCCGGCATACGCACCGGCTGAAGATCGCGATTTGAACCCCTGCCTGTGAAATTTGCACTTTTAAGACGAATTCGTTTTGTTCCTTTTGGCAGTTATTAATTGGTACGACACATCCTAAACCTGCACTTTAGCAGTGGGGGCGGTGATAGAGATGCGCTCTGCAGGATTCGAGAATGGCTAATTTCGCGTCGAGCGACGGTTCAGGCAATATTTCACTGTTCTCTTCGAAAGTTAAATCTCGTGGTTGGAAATCGCGACTTTTCAAAGAATCGATTTTCCTTCGCTGCGGTGGTTGAGTTCTATGCTGCGAAAAATAAGGTGTTTGGTGTCGAACGTTGCCAAGAATTAGATTTGTCACCACACTGTAGAGTACTATACTCTAGTACTGTACATGCCATAGGATCTCAACGGCTCCGAATATTCTAGATTTTGCGGTACTCTGGGACTTTTCAGTCCGGGGCTCTTTGGTGAGAATTTGGTAAGTGGGCACTGTAGGAAGGCTCAATCCCAGAAAACAACTACAACAACGGTCAGGAACAATCTACTGTTTCCCCGTAAATCAGAGTAATTATCTATTTGCCTCGCTGGCACTTGAGCAACCCGGAATTTATTTATTCATACATCTCTTCTACTCCCTACAACTAACATTTGCCTCCCCCCCCCGGACCATGAGCGAGGTGTGAAAAGATTGATATAGTGCTTTCGTTTGCATCGGCTGACCCCATACATCGTCTCCGGACCGGGCTTTTGCAGATTTCTTGGGGGATTATACTATTATCGCGGCAGGGCAGCAAACAAATAATGATCGAGAACGTCCAGAGCAAGTGACCAAGCACTCCGGGTTGTGGCATCGCCTAAAATACCACCTTTCCGTTTAAGGATGTTTCATATCGAGGCTAGGGCGGCACGGCTCTCCATTTATGACACCTCATGTTGGCTCAGAAACGACTTGCTCCTTGAATACAATATAAGGTACCGCGTCCACGCCCTTAATTTTGTTCTAGGACCAAAGTAAGCTTCTTGGTTAGACTATGATGTTCACTAACTTGTAAACTATCACGCTCAAGCACGGTATGATAATAGCTTGCTACAGTTTCCCTTGAGATAAACAAAAAGTGACGACTCCCTCCCCAACCAAAGACTCAGCCTACCATCATATTATGCAGCTGCTATCACTGTGTACTAGTACTCGAGCGCTGTACTGCCCAGCGACATACTTGGCGGGGTGGGATACAAAATGCTCTGCTCGAGCAAGTTATATAATTCCTGGAAAACATTATTCCTGCTTGTGGTGTCCACCCTCCCCCCCCCACTGATTGCCGAAATTGGACCACATCAAGAGATAGAGGGTTTAGCTAGTTTTGGCGGTATTTAGAGCGTTATAGAGGAAAGAAACGCTTTCAATTTCTCTGGTATGCTTCTCTCAGGGCTAGGGGGTCGGAACTCAATTTTTTTTGTGATATATGCTGTACGATTTTCGGTCCTACAGCCACCGATCCGCGAACCCCCTCCCTGGTAATGGTTTGTCCACGCTTGAATTCTGTGAACTAAGTGATTGAAAGAGAGGGTAAGAGATAGCAGTGTTACGGGCTCCACGTAATCCATCCAAACACCATGCCCATTTCCACCTGGGATAACCAACTACTACAAAGTATAATACGAGGAATTATAGATGTCCCCCAATAAAAGGGATTAAAATCTTCAAACCTTGTTATAGCCATGACCTGCCCATTCAACACTGATGGAAGATTCGTGGAGAAAAAAAATCAGCTTGATGGGGCGAGAACGGGTGATTTTGTATGATCGCAGACAATCCCTCGGTCGGGTATTTCTTCCACCGGAATCTTTGGGCTTCGTGCAGGCGCGTTGGTAACTGGATGGTGCGACAGGTGGATCGCCCGTACCCCGTGCGCTGCGGGGTCTAACTTGTCGGGGCGGGAGTGCTTGGCTTTAGATTGCCCCCTCCTCTCTCCCTTAGTGATAGATAGCTCACAGCGCCTTCACCCAGGTGGGTCCACCGGCTGGTACGTTTGAGGAGAAGGCAGGGGACAAATTTCCTTGGCCGGGGGCGGGTAGATTGTACTTGCCAAGTGTTGTTTGCTCTGCATAACATTGTGGTGCCTAACTATCCTGGCGGCGGGGTCTCCACAGTTGGATTACAAAATTCACTGGGATTCAGATCCTCCGGCAACAGCAATCTGGTCGATACAGTGTAGTCCAGGGAAAGCAGTATCACGCCCCTATGATCAACCTCCAAACTAGCTGTACAGTACTGATATCATACTTGCCCGGGTACAATGATTAACTAGGAAATCTTCCTTTATCTTTGAAGGATTAATCATTTCAGGTAACCAAGGTAACTTATATGTATATAAATTCCTTCTCATAATCCGAGTAGTGAGTTAAAAAAATATACGTTCATGAAATAGAAAGAAATTTGCCCCTAAAAACGCACAATTGTCAAGCCCCACCTTCATGAGCTAACACGACCTGCTTCGCGTCCGACATCACGATGTCTTTCTCAGCAGGTGTTATGAAATCCTCCTGCGTAAGCTCGGTGTCCTTGATGCGTCTCCAGATGACCGGGATTGCCAGTAGCATTCCCGCTCCACAGAGTCCCCACGAAGATCCGAATCTGAGTTTACGTTAGTTACATCTCTTAGGTAGCATCGCAGATGATCGAGACTGTGGGCAAGAAACTTACAGGGTCGCGTAGCTGTACTGAACACCATCCAGCCGCCAGACAACAGCAGCTCCTGCGGATTGAATACCCTTGTAAAAACCCGCAAAGTATGCGAGTTTACGGGGTTCATTGGAAAGGGCTCCCATCATCCAGTATGCATATGTTTGCCACATCTAGCAACGCTATTAGTGAGGCTTATCAGTGCCTTGGGGAGCTGTAGGACCTACCGCATCTTGAAATCCGTAAGCCATATAAAGTAGAAGGTACCAGGTAAAATCCTTGTCTGTCAGGTCATTAACGGGGCGCTGCCCAGCGTTGTGTCCGATCTTCAAAAAGCGGGCTTACCAAAGACGTCGATGGCTGGGGCATTATCCGGATACTTATCGCGGGACGACTCTAACAAAGGCTTCAAGCCACCACCCCACTAAGGAAGATTAGCGGTATCCGGTAAAAGACAGAATGTACGACTTACAATAGAGTTGACAGCCACACACAGGATAACCCATCCATAGATTGCTCGCTTGCGTCGGCCGATCCTCTGGTTATCTAAGAAGAATCCAAAAGCCAGAGCACCAAAGATTTGGGCAAGCCAGTACCATAAGTTACTGCCTATTGTCAGGCTAAGGCAATGATGGTGTGGTGGGAGAACTTACGTGAACGTACGGCCACGAAGGTTGAAATAGAAAAGCTGATAGCAGTTTTGCTGATAAGTATAGAACCAGTTACTAGCCCAGAAGAATGGGAAAAGTAGGAGGACATAGGTGTCCGTCTTTATCGTTTCCCAAAGGCCATAAATCTCCCTCCTGTCAAAAGGGTTAGCGACTGGGGTGGTAAGTGGGTAGATAGATATACTTACTTCATTGACGGGTGGTGAACACGTTGAACACGGGTCCCATCCTTTCTGATAATCTTCTCCGGGGGAACAAGAAAAAACGCAAGGACTGCACCGCAGAGCATGAGAACCAAAAAGCCTACGTATGTGCCATCGTTGACGGCGCCGTTGTCTGGACTGCTCCAGTTAGTAGCTAATGTACGTTAATAAGATATGGATCCAGGTGAGATTAGAGAATCCTACCGATGGGAATGCATGACCCAATAACAGCGCCCTGGCTTTGTTAGCCTGCGCCGACGACTTTGGGGAGCGGGAGTAGAGAATTACCATATTGAAGATAGCCCAAAACAGCCCGATGTATCGACCTTTCTCACTCTCCATGGGATAGGACTGCTCTCGTTAATACCCTATTGTGGCAAGGAATTCGCGGGCCCTACCATCATTACAGTCCCTTGGGCACACCATAAGAGCCCGGCACATACACCCAGGAAAGCGCCAGCGAAGAGGACAAATCCTTCGTTCTTGGTGTGGTTATAAGAGAGAAAGGATGCGGAATACATGGCATAACCGAGGCCACCGAACGCCAATGTGGCTTGCGCGCCGACTGCCTCCAGGTTAGCGTGGGCGATACTGTCGAGAGTGATTACGGTGCCTGCTCACAATAATTGAGAGCCGTTCCAGCGGTAAAACCAACGAATGCAAATGTGGTGTATAAAGCCACACTTGCGTTGGATTGGACTCTGCTATCAACTTGGCCACCAGCACCCAAACTGCGATAACTTCAGCCCCCGCCTTCAACAGGATATTGATATTGGGCTTATGGGAACATACCCGCTCAGCGCGTTGAACATCCCGGGGCAAAGGAAACAGACGAAGCCGGTGAGCATCACTACGGCCCAAATTAGCTCTGGAACCAGGGACGCGAGAAAAATTTGACCAAGCGAACCTTGAGCCAATGGCGAACGCCACGGCGGCAACCGAATGCCCAAGATCTTTATCCCCTTCCTCTGATAAAAATTATCCTCATGAGGTGTCTCCATAGCCCCTTGCTCCGGAGGAGTGGCATTTGTCGTTATTTCGCCTCCTGTCATTTGTGGTTGTTTCGTAGACCTTTAGCAAAGTCGCTAAAATCGAGGTTCAAGGGAGAGGAGCAAATAGCGGTCGGGATGGGGAGATAATATAGAAAAAAGTTCTATTTCTGTTGGGCTTAACGGCAATACCTGCACTGCATGGGCATGTGATTCATTTGCGGAAGATCTGGATATCCTTTCCCCCAAATATGGGTGGAAAATATCGGAGGTCGATATTTAATGCGTAGCCACATTCTCGTCCAAGGAGTCAAGGATAGCAATTGTCGAGGCTTGGGAATTGGCGGGTAGGACGATCGCAATGTGATTCGCTGTTTCAAGTGCATGGCCGGTAGACGCTGCTAATTCGGATAACCCGGCCAGGTGCTGGATCCACGCCCTTGTTACAAGCCCATTTTGTGCTTTATCAGCGCCAGGGGCCACAGCACTACTATTAGTTCTCTTCTTATTACCCGATTTTGATCTATCGGTAGTCAAAAGGCAACATGGTTTCCGCTGCAATAGGTAGCCAGGTGGAAGTATAGCACTGTACCACCTTCTTACTATCGATACGCTAGGGGCTACTAGAGGCACTATCTCAAGTATCATACCCGCAACGGTGGAACGCATTGAGAGAACCGGTAAGTTGACAGGGTAAGGCACTGTACAGCACCCTATCTCTCAAACCAGACCACAGCACACCCTGGGTGAATCTGACCCGCCGCTATCCTGTATAGCAATTACGTTACTATCATACATATCATATCCCAAGCAAAGCACATTTGCCGCAGGGTTAGGTCTTAAATTAAGAGAAATAGTGGCTACCTTAAGGAGTGCAGCGGTGGGTCGAGTTTACCTAGAATTTATAGTATGATATCTAGATAGCAATTGATCACCGCACCGTGATAACCGGAATATCGGCAATCGAACCGTGTGTCTTGCACTCTGGTGTTATCCATAGAAATCGGAAGACATAACCTTTGTCTCCATAGAGATTTGTACGGGATCAGCGGAAATGGTTTTCCAATTTTTGCCGACACACCCGACTAGTCGAGGGAGGGTTCTCTACCGTACTTTGGAAGGGAACAGCAGGAAAAGAGTTGCTCAGCTCCTCAGAGAGACATTTGAAACCCCAAAACCACCAGACCTGACGAGGCAACTCCAATGACATAGCACTTGGTCTAGCTATTCCAGTTTTACCATACCCGGGAGTTTTTATTGTGTTTGCGAGCTTGAATGTTGTCTTGTTGTACCTGGAGTAGCTCGTGCATAGAGAAAAATAGGTTATGAGAGCTACCGTAGGGGAAATACTCCAGGACTTCCAGCTCGCGGGATACATTCATGTAGCCATCCAGAATAGCAAACTCCGGGTGGCCCATGCTGGATCGTCCTGGGCTGGTCAGCCGCCTTGCTTGCATTGATTCTATTTAGCAAACGGTATGAGGAAGGTGGAGGGCGATAGCTGTGATGACAAGCCCAAGGTCAAATTCCTGGTTCCCCAAGGCTTACCCGGCGTCTACCATTAGCCGCAGGGCAATTGAATCCTACCGCAACTCTGTAACACTAATCTTAGTTCGGCAGAAAGCTACACTTTTAGCTCTACCCTGTCGCTCTTGCGATGCTCGAGTACCGTACTCGTAGAGGGATCTCCGGCTTACTGTGGTTCGGCGAATCCCTTTACGAGTAGAATGATTCGCTTGTTGCGATATATTAGCGCCAGCCCACCCCGCCAAACACCCGTACCAGGATAACATGCGAGTAAACCATGCCACCGAGTGGCCTTACCCTTAGTAAGCGTATCGGTGATACCGGTTTGTAAAAAAGGCTTTTTCCCAATGAGGGGCTTCTATTGGATGAATGTGTACGAGTAGTAATTTCTTATTCTCGATACGAACGCCGTAGATCATTGATCTGCGTGGTGCGCCGGGATTATTCCTTGTTCCGCCGGTCCCACAGCGGAAAAACTTGCGGAAAACTTGCGATAACCCTCATCTCAATAGATATTTGTGGGGGACCAGGAGATATGGCTCCCCGGTTCCTACCGACACCGGGGTATGAGTACCAGCACCGTGCCAGATACGCCTTTGCGCTTTTGACGCGAGCTGTGAAAATGGTCGGTGCAAAGTTGGGTTGCCCATCAGGATTCCGCTGGGGCTCTGTCGTGATGAGGCAAGCCTCAAGAGTGCTCATCACGTGTTATCATACTGGAATTTTGCTACAAGAATCACCCTCGCCATCTTAGACTCGTAAATTGTACACGCGGGTAGCGCGCTAATTAAGCTCCACTGGGAGAGCGTACCTAGCTTAAATTACATCTTTGACGAAATCCGGGAATCGCAGGAGATAGCGTCCGCGTGTGGGGTCTGATTTTACAGGTAGTGTAAACAACGGACGTACAGTACTGGAGTACAGTATATTCTCATCAACATTAATCTGTTGAAGGAAGACTAATGTAAATTAAAGCACTCCACGCCTGGGAGAGCTCGTGGGTAGCTGCTGGAGAACGAGTGACAACTCCCTGTATGTATGGAAATGGGTGACCAGATGAAGTTTTCATAGGGATCGGGGGAGGTTATCTGTCAAAGATCAAATATTACCGCACTGCTAACAAGAAGGAAGCTGATCATGTGTTTCCGCTCCAATTGTTTAGAGCCATAAGTTATGTTTCCACCGGGGTGATTCAGACTGTGGTGCTGGAATGCAGTACCGAGTCGGTGTTACCATTAACTAGGTATTCGGCATGAACACTAGGCTCCCTGAAGAGGGGCGCGAGTACTAGGTACAGCGGCTTTCTATTTTAACGCCTTGAAATCGCCACACCGCGACTGTGCTCGTGGGGTACCGCACGCGCCAAGGGTGCAATGGTGCATGCAAGGAGCCGCAACTTCATATCGCGAGGGGTTAGTCCAATAAAAAAACGGAAAACTCCCGGATTCCCCTCTCAAGAACTGGTGAGGGTTTGTGGGTTAGTAGGAGGATAAGGTCCTGTATCTATGGGGTGTTTGCTTCATAGAATTTCTTGACACAGAAGGGGGCGAGTCTTGGAGGAAAAATTTGTCCTCTTAACCACTCCCGACCTTCCCACCTTAGTTTAGTCAAGCCACCCACAAAGAACAACACAATAGACAACACCTCCACGCTTACTTGATTGGGTCCACTTTTGTGTTCTTTTCTTGTCTTTTTATTTTCCTAGCAATACGACATACTGGCGAGTCAATTCCCTGTGACACTATGCTACGGTTTAACAGGAGGTCATGATTACAATAACTTGCAAGTTCAACTACGGTAAGATCCCACAGACGCCTGAGGTATAGTACGAAACAAATGCCACAGGTAGTGCTCTGAAATGGATTTCTCTGATTGCCACATCGAGGAAGACCCACTCTCGTCATTGTGCATGTCTATCCAAATATGTTTTCCTTTTCCATCAGTCCATTTGTTTGGCTGTTAGGTTATTTGCTTGTCAGTTGCCACAACAATAGTCCATTGGAACTTGGCCATCCTGGAACTCCTGTTACCACCTGGTAGTGAGCTTCCTGAGAGTAGTGACTATATGCCTGAGTGCTTGGGTCCTGTGTACCCCTCGAGAAAGGTTGGTATTGAGAGACCTCTTAAGCAGCAGAAAGCCTCGCAGATTGTCGATACTCTGTACTACCAAAGAAACGGGTATTGGTATAAGATCCCACGCTGCATTGCACAAAACCCCAGTGAGGAAGACCATCATCAGTTTCGCCTACCACTGGAGAGAGAGCTTGTACTGCCAGAGCTTTTCAAAACCCTATTACAATCTCTGTCAGCTACTCTGTGTAGTAGTTCTGAGTTCTTCAATCAACAAAAGATCATGGGTCATTCAAGTTTAATGGATATCAAGTTTACTGGTAATAACTCTGTAGATGTAACGTGTTCGCAAGGTGCTAATCACGTTATCGGTAAGGAATACGATAGTTGGCAGGTGGCCTGCTCTTCCGGAGAGGAGGCGAGAGCCGAGAACTAAAGGAGGCTTCGAGGGTGTACTGAGAAACAAAGAAGTAACCGTTCAACCAAGTATATTGAAATAGTGTCTGTCGAAGTCTGCCTTTTCCATCGTAGAAACAGGCGGTCTTTAAATACACAAATCTGTTCGTGTCTAGCATGAACGAAACTAATCAATGGTATCGATTGATACTCTTTGGTAAAACTCCTTAAGTATCAAAGCAATACTTAAAACAAAACATAAAACAAAACCAAGTATCATAACGATACTTAAAACAAACCAAGTATCAAAGCGATACTTAAAACAAAACATAAAACAAAACCAAGTATCATAATGATACTTAAAACAAACCAAGTATCAAAGCGATACTTAAAACAAAACATAAAACAAAACCAATAACCAAGTACCCGTACCGGTTACAGTAGATGTTAAAATACTTCTGGGATGGATGAGAACCTAGTTTGCTACAATGGAAGATGATTACTGTAATGACACCTTCTCAGATAATTAGTTCTTGGTGACAGGGAATGATACTTCTCTTCTTTGGTTTCTTTCCTTAGTCTTATAATAGCATTAGGACTCTGCCTACGTTACCGATAGTACAAGACCTTTGTCTTCTATTGGGAATACCTATCATAAGCTTTCTCTAACTCTGATTCGTAAAGAGCTTGCCTCGGCGTAATGATAAACATTGCAATAAAGATAAAGATCGTAAAGGTGTTTTATATTCGTTAAAGTAATAAATAGGAAAAGTGCTTAGAATTCAATCTAATTTTATTTAAACTCGTACCGCCAACACTGGCATATGATGAGCCCCTGCCGGTACAGGGATACCGCTAATTGGTATACCACTAAACCTAAGCTAACTAAGTCTACGGTCCTGCACCTACCATCTCCGAGTCCTGCCCGTACAGAAACTAATTACAAGACCATCCAACAACCCAGCACCTGCCGTGGTCCAAGTCTGTAGCCCCACCGGTACGAAGCCAACCAGCATTAAGTGTAGCCGAAGCTGAGCGAAAGACCGACCTGACCATGATCCTCATCCAACAAACATAAAACCACTACTACTCGGTCTAAATACCGTCCCGTAAAACCTCCATCATAGTAGAAAACCAACAAAAAACCAAACTAACTCTACAGGCAGCACAATGGCAGGTAGGAGGTGACCCACATCTCCACCTCTCGCACCTGCATGCCAAGCTGTTGACCCTATGAACCCACTTTGCC